GAACTTTGGGGCAAAGTTTGAGCTGGGGAAGGAGGTGGGTCGAGGGCATTTTGGTCACACTTGCTGGGCCAAGGGCAAGAAGGGAGAGCTCAAGGGACAGCCTGTTGCGGTCAAGATCATAGCCAAAGCGAAGGTTTTGCTCATACTACGATTTATATGTTCTTTTTCATAATTTAGTTGAATGTGCATTTTCTTGTTCGGTAGATAAGCTCGTTTTCTTTGTGTATTTAAGTAAATATGGAATAAATGAAAAATACAAATCATCAGAAAAAGTATATGTGGCAACAATCTATGGATAAATTAGAAGGTCAAAGTGCACAATTTGAGTTGAAGCAATTATTGTTTTTAGTATAAGCTTTAATAATTTTGTTTGAAATTAAGGCAAATTAAATGGTGAACAGTCTGATAATTTGGTTAAGCATGGTTATGCGAATGATGCCTTCCCTGCAACGAGTCTGGGGGATTGAATATGGGTAAATCTTTTGGCTTGTACATGTTTTGAGCCTGTTGATCTTTGTCTGCGAAACGTTTTTAAAGGAGTTTTAGGTTATTAATTTGTACTGACCTTCCAAATTTTCTCATCTTCATGTATTATATAGGTGAGGCAGGATTCATTTACTCTCACTGCTTCATCAATACATTACATGATTTACTAACTTACAGAATTTAACTTTTAATTTGAAGGCATATTGGTAATTAAATGAGGGATTTTTCGCAGATGACAACAGCAATAGCTATTGAAGATGTTCGTAGAGAGGTGAAAATACTGAAAGCATTATCTGGACATAAGAATCTGGTCAGATTTTACGATGCATTTGAGGATGCCAATAATGTCTACATAGTCATGGAGTATGACCTTGCTCTCTTGTTTTATTTATTTCTTATTATTTAATAGTATTTAGTATTTTTCTTCTTTTTTTAATAAAAACCAATATCTTGGAGTCATGGCTCAACTTTGTTACATAGGAAATCATGTGAATTGTTGCTTAGTGGTTGATTTGTATGAATATATCACTATATTTTTTTGGATTGATGAGAAGAATTTAGTAGATAAGCCTGTTTTGAAGCTTTCTGATCTCGTTGACTTTATAGGTTGTGTGAAGGTGGAGAACTACTGGATAAAATTTTGTCAAGGTAGAATGAAATGCTTTGTTTTCTTGTATTGTATTTGTGATTTGCACTTTCGGATTTTATGAGTTCTAGGATGTATTCTTAATCACTCCTTGGTGGCAGGGGTGGAAGATATACAGAAGGAGATGCTAAGACCATTGTTGTGCAAATTTTAAGTGTAACAGCCTTCTGTCATCTTCAAGGTGTTGTGCACCGTGATCTAAAGCCAGAGGTACTACATTCAGAGAGTTTGAACTAACAATTGTATTTCCAGTTAACTAATTATTGTATTTGGAAAGGAACAGAATAATTGTGCATGTTCACATGTACTTCTGTTTTGTGTCTACAGTTCTCATCCCAACCAATAACTAATTACTCTGCTCGTTATGACTGCTTGGCAGAACTTTCTTTTTACCACAAGAAATGAGGATGCTCCAATGAAGGTTATTGATTTTGGTCTCTCAGATTTTATTAGGCCCGGTAATGGTTGCTTTCTACACACTATCCTTTGGCTTCAATGTATAATATATAGCTGCAAATTGTTTGTGTCATGAAGTTCTCCTAGTCCTATTAGCATCTTCTCTAACCATTTATTTCATTGGAAGTTTTTTTTTTCCTTCTAGTATATTTCAAAGAGGCTTTTTTTTTTTCCTCTTGATATGTTGTTCTTGTTCTTTTGAGAACAAGCTTACCTTCTTAGGACTCAATCTAACTATGAGAACTTCAATTATCAGAACATTACATTGTTTTCACAGCCCATTTAGTTCTACATGTGCAGATCAACGCCTCAATGATATTGTTGGAAGTGCATACTATGTTGCACCTGAAGTGTTACATAGATCTTACAGTCTTGAAGCTGATATGTGGAGTATTGGTGTCATAACGTATATACTGCTTTGTGGAAGTAGACCTTTCTGGGCACGAACTGAATCAGGAATATTTCGTTCAGTGCTAAGAGCTGATCCTAACTTTAATGATACACCTTGGCCTGCAGTGTCCTCGGAAGCCAAAGATTTTCTGAAAAGGCTTTTGAACAAGGACCACAGAAAAAGAATGACTGCCGCCCAAGCTTTAAGTAAGTGGGTTTTAAATATTTTCACAATCCTCAATGGATTCAAAATATAACTCTCTCTAGTTTCTAATTTTTTTATTTTTTATTTTGCACTAAATTTTCCCTCCTTGTGGCATGTACAGTTATTTGCTTTTGATATATGTTGATAGTTATCTCCTGTGTTCACAGCTCACCCATGGTTACGTGATGAAAAACATGATGTGCCTTTAGATATATTAATCTACAAGTTGGTTAAGTCATATGTTCGTGCCACACCTTTCAAGCGTGCAGCACTAAAGGTAACATACATTTACAAGATACGTGCCTTCCCAATCCTCGCGAATGTGAAAAGAAAAAAAAAATAAAAAAGAAACAACTTAAAAACAGAGATAAAAATGTGGGCAAAACATGGTGTATAGTAGAAGTTGCATTTGTTTAGCATTCAATACTGAGTGGAGGTTGGCAAAACATATGTGCTGGCATCTTTTGTAAGTTTGTAACATATTTCTTTATGCACAGGCTCTTTCCAAGGCTATAACAGAAGACGAGCTCTGCTATCTTAGGGCTCAATTTAGGCTCTTGGATCCTAAACATGGATATGTGTCCCTTGATAATTTCAGAACGGTTAGTCATCGTTCTTATTGCTTTAACCATCCCTCTTTGGGTACATTTTAGGAACTCATTTTTGGACACGTATTATCTATGTGCATGGTATATTACGGCAATTCAGGATGCCCAATAAGTGCTGTAGGTAGACATTTTAAATTTGTTTATCTTTCATTGTTTTGTAATGACATTTCAACTTATCATGAAAAATACTGTAGGCCCTCATGAGAAATTCAACTGATGCCATGAAGGAGTCGAGGGTTCATGACATTATAAATGTGGTAAGAGATATTGTTGCCTTCAGCGCACTTTCTTTGATTTGAACGAAGCAATTTTCCCAAAACTGTTTGTTATTTTCACATATAGTAGATTCCTATATAACATTGAAACTTCAGTAGAATTTCTTTTTGTTAATTTTTTTCAAATGACAAACTGCACACTGTTGCATATCTTGGGATAGGTCAGATGAGATAACATCCTGTTTCTGTGAAGGTTGTATTTAATGAAACAAACAAAGAGAAAACCCCATTTTTTTCTTAATATTGGAGGACTCTAGAATGTCTTATCTTTTGTGCTCTTGTTGGACTTTTTTGGCTTATCGTTTCTATTGGCAAATACAGTCTTGATCACAGAATCGATAGGATTGATAACAAAGCTACTTTTTTATTATTCATTTTTCTATTTGTGTTATTGTGGCCTTTGCGTGAGGTATATTCTCATATTCTAGTTTTAAATTTAAGATGGAACCACTCTCACACAAGAAATTGGACTTCGAAGAGTTTTGTGTTGCTGCAATAAATACGTATCAGCTAGAAGCTCATGAAGGATGGGAGAAGATTGCAAGTACGGCTTTTGAGTATTTTGAAAATGAAGGAAACCGGGTCATCTCTGTGGAGGAGTTGGCACAGGTATGCACATCAGTTTTTCGTATAATTGCTCATGTAGATGTTACTTTCAAAATGGCATATGGAACAAGAATCTGCATGAGTTTTACTTTCAAAATAGCAAACTCAAGAATGATGAAACATTATGCAGGAAATGAATCTGGGGCCTACCTCTTACCCTTTACTCAATGACTGGATCCGAACTTCGGATGGAAAACTTACCTTCCTTGGATACACCAAATTTTTGCATGGTGTAACAGTACGTAGTTCCAATACTAGACAGCGGTAAATGTAAGCAGGGATATATAATTTTTTACAAATTTTTTACTGAAAGTGTATTTCCAATTTTTTATAAACTTCGTCATCCCTTTGGAGAGTGAAGGTGAAAGTTGAGTGTGAGGTTGAGATTGAAGAGATATGGGTCCATGCCAATAGTTTGTAAGAATTTATGCAAAAGAGTTGCTCAAGAGAAGACCCTTGAAAACACATGAAGATATTTGTAAAAATAATGCATGATATGATACTGTACCAGTTGTGAGAGTTGTTGAGATCCTTTAGGCAAAATAGAAACCAAGAAAGTTTCTGCATTTACATTTGTACGAGTTTGTTTGTGCTCGAATCCGTTCTTACGGACATTCCGATACCAAAAGCCATCTATACGGACATTCTGCATACTTTGAATTATGATTTCAAGAAGGAGAATAATTAGTGCAATGCAAGGAATATTGACATAACTTGATTTTTCAGTACTCCAAGGCCAGCAATGTATGATTGACTTTCGCCTGGACTGTTTCACGTGGGCAAATAGAGGTCTGGAAGCGTCGAGGAGTAAAATAGCGGCCGGAATCAGATAGATGGTTATTGAGGTTGGCGTCCCATTTTGGGTATGGTCGGTCCGTTTGCGTGTGCGAATCGACGAATGATAGGTTCCTTTGAAAGAAGAGCATGTTCACATGCCCCAAATGGAGTAAGTCACATTTGTGCACATGGGCAGCGTGGGAAGTCGAAACAAACTAATCTATACGAAACGAAGGCAAAGCAAATGATTGAGTCAAATATGTATTACTTTATGCCTTGCCATTTTATCTATATCCATAATCCATAGGAAGTCAATGTATTATAAAACGTAAATTTCAGTTTACGTATTCAATTAGATAAGAATAACTCGTCAATCGAGCATAATACCAGTTTAAGTGTTATAGTTAATTATCCCCTAAGTTAATGGGTTTTGCGGCGAAAACGCAAATGTGAACGACTTGGGGGACCAAAAAACAAAATATTGGTAAATTAAACACCACCACCGCAGATAATACAACAACATCTGGTCGATGGCTGTGAGGAGCTAAGCCTTAGCCCTCTTTCTTATCTCCAACAACCAGCTTCTTAGTTTTACGCATTTGACCTATCAACAACAAGAAAGAAAAAGAACATGTACAAATCAAAGGCACCCAAAACGTGATTTTCATCTTTATTGAGGCACCAAAACGAATATACCCCAAATCATACACATTAATATGATCCATTGATCTCTTTCCCAGGATCATCGTAAACTCACAACCAAATACGACTATGAAGTCCCAACGAAATAGAAAAGAACCCGAGGCGTCCTCACAAACAAACAATCAATCCAAGGAAATTAATAGATGGATTGTATATTTACATAACTGCCCAACAACAATGAAATCAAACCCTAAAACACAAGACATGATGATGTTGGTGGTGGTGGTGGTGGTGCTGCTGCTGCTGATTATGGTGGTGACGGCAGTGGACTGAAGTCTCCCTATCGATCATGCCTTGAACGGTGCGGAACTCCTCCACGTGACAAGGAATGGTGATTGGGCCTTTCTGATCAAAGCCATACTCTTCCTCGGCTTCCTTCAACAGCTGCATGAAGAGTGGGTGGTTGATGTAGATCACAGGGATCACAAACCTCTGTGGCTCCTCGCCCTGGCCCACCATGACCGCCAAACAGCCCTTTGGAATGTCTTTGGGCTCCTTGTTGTTCTTGACATGGTGATGAAGAAGGTGGGGAAAGTGAAGGTGAAAATTGAGGTGGTGGTGTTTGTTGTCCCTGTCGCCGCTAAACCCCATTTCCGATCACAAGAATATTGATTACGTACCCAGAAACCAAAAATACCCTAGCAGCTAGTAGAGTCTAGTGGAAAAAACAAAGAGAAAAACTAAGACAAGTGAATTGTCTTGATGGGTTATAAGAAGACGAAAGAAAAAGGCCAAGGATCAGAAGCAGAGATTGCAAGATTGAAGAGGGTGAGGGCGGAGTCGGTTAGAGATCTTGGAATATTGCTCATGATAGATGAATATCAGATTCAACAACCCACATATATGAGATGATGAACAATAGAAAAAGATAAAGTGAGAGGTTTTTGGAGAGGGCGAGCTTGCTATTTATATACGGCTTAAAGGCGTGGAGGTTGTATGTGGGTGACGATGTTTCTAGGGTTTGCTTATCTTATACACAAAGGTTCCTTCTCACCTAGCCTCTTCCAGAGACGAAAAATGAAAAAAGAGTCACGTCTAATTGGGCTGTGGGTTCCGACTTTATGAATTTATGAGAGAGAGAGAGAGAGAGAGAGAGAGAGAGAGAGATCATCGCCGTCCAAGATATATATATATATATACATATATATATATATGTATATACATGGTTTGCGAAGCTCACTCGGAGTTTTTCACAGCTGGAAAAACTTACAAGACGTTACAAATATGGGGACTTAATTTGACTTTTTTGTTTTTGGTTTCCAAAACTAGAATTCCGACGCTAAAAGACTTATCATCTCACGCGTATTTCGTAATTACTACTGTTAATACTTATACAGCAATATTAATTAACACGTTAACAGACATAACCTTTATTAGGGATATTTTGGGAAATAAAACCAAAGCTGGATTCTAAATAATCTCATCATATCAAACGTCATTTTATATTTATAGTATTGAATCTATTGATAAATAATAATATACAGTAAGAAATAACCCGGAAATGGAAGAATTTCAACTGAGCATAGAAAAGCATCACCAAACAAAATCAAAGAATTCAATCTTGCGAAGCAGCTAAGCCACGTGGATGACGAGTAGCAAACGCTTCTCTGGCGAAGCAAATTTGCGGGGTCCTTTTCGGCTACATGGGACCGACGACAGTGAGGTGTCACGTGAGCGTCTCACATGCCTCCAACATGTCACAATTCTCCATTGTTTACATCAGGGACAGGGAGCGTCACGTCAGCTTCTTATTATTAATTTTTAATTTGTCAACATACTTTGCTTGCTTGTATATTTGTTGTTTGGAAATTATCCTTTATTTGTTGTAACAAAACACTATTATTTATTTGTTTATTGTACCCCTAATACAATTATGAAAATGCAAATGAGGGTTACCCTTGACTAAGTCGATGCGTCCACGCTACTTAAATCACCTTCCCGTGCATTAAAATAGTTAAAATATAGCTTTGTTAAAATTAAAATAAAAACACACATTCATTGCATAGAGATAGAGGAGTGGAAAAAGAAAAAAACAAATCTACCCAAAGTTTTTCAAGTGCTACTAGTACCCCCACATGGGGCCCAGGCCCAGCCCTCAATCTAGGAGCGGTTTCTGTGCCAGTGTTACCGCAAAATTGCTGTGAAGGAAGGTATTGCGATGATTTTGTAGAGTGTGACGTTGCCCAGAAAGATGCATGTGCTCCTAATATCTTGGCCCTTGTTATTTGGAAAATTTAGTTGAATCACAACTAAGAAAAGCATGCGATTGATTGATGCACAAGTTTGGTGAACGGGCAATCCTAAACCGTGCGATCAAGATGGGGAGATTATTACGTCAGTTTTGAATAGTAGGTTGATGCATGGGATTCTAACTTGTAAGAAGAACTTTCGAGATGTAGCCGTTGAATAATGACCCACAAAATGGGAATGGTTAGCTAGCTGTGGTTCCTTTCTTCTTTTGTTTGTTTATTTATTTTAGGTCAAAAGACTCACGAAAGGAAGGAAAGTTGATTGTGTCGGTCGAGCATCTATGGAAACAGAATTGAGTAGACCTTTTGCTTTTTCTCTCTCTGCTTTCTTCTTTTGTTTGCTTGGCAGCCTGCCTCTCTCTCCAACCTCTTAGATACACAGTGTCCTTCCAAGAATACGGCAACGTTTTCAAAATGTAACTAGTTTTTCAGAAAAAGGAAATTGTCTGATCGGGATTTTTGAAAATGACAGGTAATAAGATTGGTTTTGGGGTAATTATCATAATTTTTTATTATATATTAATAAGAAAAGTTTATTTGTTTCCTTGTCTGCCAATGAGTATTTTTCATAATTTAGTGCCATCTACCTTGATTATAACAGCCAACCAATTTGGGTTTTCAGACCAAATATATTATATATGTTTTTTTGCTTTATTATGTTCATGAATCATGAATCATGTAAGATGATGGTCCATGGTACAAAAATATGGCTGGACATTGAAGATCAAGTAGATTTTGAATTGTTGGGCTGGATAGCACAAAGACACCACCTCATATGGATTTGGAGAAGTCCAATCTGAGGCCACTGGAGTAAAAAGCATCACCAGGCCCAGCTAAAGAAGAGTATTTCAATGGGCTTGAACTGGAATTCATAATATGGAAAATAAAATATTATGAGAACACAAAGAGAACATGCAAGTAAATTAGGGTTCATTACAAAGAAACCTTTCGGTTTTGATTTTGAGTTTTAATTCTGTGTGTGTATAATTTCATAAACATTTCTTTCACATTCCCGCCACTATTATTATTATTATTATATCTCCACCGTTCTACTGTATCCCTAATTTCTCCCTCTATCTCTAACACAAAACTGAGAACTAAAAACGAAATGGTTACCAAACAAACTTTAAATACTCTCGGATTCATTGCAAAAGACTGATTTCAATTTTCTTTATAATAAGGACTTCCTTGACCAAGAAAAGGAAAGAAAAGAAATTCAAAGAAAGTTAAAAACGATTTGCATGAATTTCAAACAATCCATTTAGTTAATTTAGTAACTCCAGTAATTCAATCTCATTATAAACAACAACAACAACAACAGCATCAATTGTTTTCAGATCATTCCACCCATATAACCATGACACAAAAACTGCTACGTTGCCGGAGTGCCAATCTAACATCCATATAATATATATAAAATAAAACATTGGAATAAGAACAAGCATGAAAACTTGAAGGATAAATCATCACAGTTTGCAGTAATTTAGCCAAAAAAGAAGAATGATAAGAAAAAATCTATATAAAATCTAGAGGTGAAGAAAGGAAAACATCAAACATACGCACTAGCTTCACATTTTCCTCCCTTGCAATTGCTTCCATGTTGTGTACTTACCCGAAAAAAGGGAAGAAAAAAAAATCATTGCAGCGTGACAAGTGACCGAAAGGCCCTCATAATTCTAACTAGAACACCATCTTCTTCTTCGTCGATCGTAACCGTACGTTGAGGAATATCCAATCATAAATCATTAGTTCCCTTAATCAGACGGCACACTTATCTCCATTATCCGCGACCTCCGCCGGTTTTTTCTCCCTATTCCAGCGGCAAGCATCTCCTCCGGCCGCCAAGGAATCACCGATGGGTTTAATGACCAAAATGCCCTCCCCCACGGCGGCGCATGTAAGCGTGGCGAGAAACGCAACGAAGGAGACTGCGGCGAAGGCCGGGTGGTCCGGCTTCCAAAAATTGCTCAGCCCCATGAAAATGATCTGCAGCGGCAACGGCACCAGTACCGTGGCTGCCAGGGTGTAAATGCGCGTCCTCAGCCCTTTGTTGATCACCAAAGACAAAACCTTCCAGCACGAAAACAAAAACCAGAGCGAGTACGCAGCCCCAAACGAACCGAACATGATGATGTTCAACAAAGGGTACGCGCAGGACACCATGCTGATCCCCAACTCGCTCTTGCTGACGACATAGCTCCGCACAAAAAAGTCGGGCACGGGGAGGCGGAGCTTCTGAAAGGGGTTGAAGAACAAGAAGATAACTTGGACCAGAGCCATGGGGAGACAGGTGGCGAGGACGAAGGCGATGGCCCAGAAGGCATTGGGGGTCTTTTTCTCGATGGAGACGTCGACGAGGAAGAGGAGGGTGACCAAGAAGGCGGGCTCGAAAAACCCCAGGGAGAGAGCCACATGGATTTTGCAGAAGTGGGGCTCCTCGAAGGGGGCGAGGGTGGAGAAGAAAGGGTAGAGGTAGTTGCTGCGGAGGGTGTTGATACGGAGGAGCTCGTTGAGGGACCAGAAGATGACGAAGAGGACGAGGAGGAATCGGACGGTCCAGAGGGAGTTGAAGTGTTGGAGATGGAGGGCGGTGCGGGACTTGAAGCAGAGGTGGAAGATGAAGCAAAGGGAGAGGAGGGAGAGGATGATGAGGGCGGAGATGAAGAGCAAGGTGGCAAGGTCTAAGGCGGAGTCTAGGAATGGTATTCTGGGAATGAAGAACATCGAGAGAGCGAGAGCGATTCTTTTTGATTAATTAATTAACTAATTTTTTTTAATAAAAAAATTAATTAATTAATTAATCAAAGAACTATGTCGATCTCTCTCTGATGATCGGCAATATATTTGGTTTGTAGGTACGTCCTCCTTTTGTGTGTTTATATCGATATCGAATGTATCGAAGGATGAGATTGTAGGGATATTCTTTGTATATCGATATTAAAATATTGCTACCTAACCACGGCTATGGTAAAAGAGGAGCGGAGGAAGATATGATGAATACTGAGGTTGTACAAAAGTAAGGGCGGCAATATTGCTGGCGGCCGTGGAGGTGAGAAAGGCGGCGGAAAGTGGTGGGACCGGAGATTATGCATGGAATGGAAATAGTAGTATTGAAATGATGATTTGAGTTATTGTGAATGTTGGAGGAGGAGGAGGAGGGCATTGGATGGAGGGCGGGGTACGTCGGAAAAGGAGTTGGGGAGAGAAGGGTAGAGACTTATTTTCTCTCCCCTATTCCCTACCGGCGGGAAACAGGCTGGTTGGACAGCTGCAACAAAAGGAAGAGCGATGATTTGGGGTTTAGTACTTTAGATAGAAAGACCGAGACGAGAGAGAGAGAGAGAGAGAAGAGAGGAGAAATGTGGTGTAATGAGATGGCTCCTTCCATTTCGGGCTTTTACGGTTAAAATTTAGAAATTAGGGATTTAATTTGCACCTTGTGTAAATTAATGAGTTGTGTTTGTTTTATTTTGGTAAATGATGAGCTGTGTGTATATAGACTAGTCTTGGGTGTTGACGTGATTCTCTTCTATTAATATGTCTATATATTTGCATGCATGCTCAAGCAGTCAATTTCTCAATTTACTGGCCATGGTTAATTAAAACAAATATTCCATTCCATATGAGTGTTTTACCCAATGATCTGCTTCATCACACTAATAAATAAATCTAAATCAACTTCATTTTTATATAATTTTATAATTGAAGGGCCGGCCATATCATATATCAACTGGCTGTATGATATATTATTTATTTTAAGAAAATAACAATAAGTATAAATTTAGGTATTATCATAGGATTCGACACCCCACACTAGATATTCTAGGATTTTTGTTTATTTTTGCTGCCATGATTATTTTTTTCTTCTTCTTTTGTGATCTCCAAATCTGCAGTGAAAAAAGACAGTTGATTATGAGCTCATGCCTAATAACTTAATAAGATTTATATGCATATGTAATAACGTACAGCTAGCAGCTGATGTTGTTGTACATTTACATTTCAATGGGTATAATGTAGGTTATCGACTATTTTGAGCAAACTTTTTTACCCATAATGGGATATCATTGATTTGCTATTTTCGGCTAATAACACAATGATACGTAAAAAAATTATCTTGCGTGTCATTGTGTTATTGACCAAAAAAAAAATATATATGTGATATTTCTGTTACATGAGAGTTTCTCTCCATTTAAAGAGTGATATTATAATCAAGTTGTCAAGATGCTTATTACAAATACATTTTAAATTCATTAACCTTCCTCAAAGTGGCAAAACATACATTTTGGGATGGATTAACAAAATTAATAAACTACCTACTAATTTATGTGAGTTAAAAAAATTGATTTTCTCAATCCCGATCCCCATCCCCGTCCAGATGCCCAATTCCTATTCCCTATCCCTAGCCTAATATAATCGAAACCAAACACCAATGGTTGGCAACTCTTGTCGTGAAATGGTCACTACATTTATTATTGTATTGCATACTCACACGTAATGGAGAGCAAAGCAACTAAACCTGCATTTGGTCGGTTGGTGTGGTGTGCAACGTTGCAGCCAACCTTAAAAAACAACTTAGCAATTTACCT